AACAAAATGTCAGATAACTCTACACACACCAGTAGCTGCGGCAGATTACCATCACTCTCAACCAGCCTTGTGTGTCTCATCTATATTATTTCCTACTTTCCACAGTTTCTTATCTCCCAAATCCAAGTGTCAACGTTTTCTCCGCGTAAAATGTTATTTCACTGGTTAATTTGTTATGTATAATGGCAGCATTTGTGGCTTTAGCAATCGTCCAAACTCTCCGACTTACAACATGCTGTTATTATTTTCTGCTTGATCATAAGTCCCATTCTGGCAGGACCTTATTGCCCCCTGGTCTGCAGGGTCTTTCACCAACACTGAATGACAGATGACTACAGTTCAATTTACTTTTGGACCACTGTTTGCCCTTCCCAGAAGAGCAGAAGAAACCAGATGTTGTCACTTTGCAAAATATTCCTATTAAAAATCCATCACAAGAACACTCATTAAAAGATATGCATACATTGTATGACACGATCATTCTCTGTCACCGCCCCTTTTCACAAATAATAATAACCTTCTTCAAATCAATAATTTTATTGAGAAAGAGGAGAGGAGACATAGTACTTGGAATTTCAAAACCCAAGGTATCCAATGTTTAATGTTTGTTAGATACTGTATGGCAAAATTACACACAATAAGGAAGCAAGAAACATTATTACAACTAAATATTTAAGTAAAAACCTGACCATTACAGTAATATTTCTCTCAAGCAATCACCTAATTCAGAAATCATCTTGGTTGGGCCTTGATTATTGGTTAGGTGTTATTTGTCATTGTCAGTCAGGAGACAGCATTGTAGATCAAGGGGTTGAATCTCATCTTTGTTGTCTGTCGTATGCAACTCATGGGGTGCAGGCACTCAACTCCTGTGAGTTGAAAACCAAGATTATCTTATGGACTGCCTCACAACAGTATCTACACAAGGCAGATGCAAGATGGAGACACTTATGTTATACCCTCTGGGTTATAGGAACAAAAGGGAACAAGGTGGTTGACAAGTTACCAAACGTTGCCTCAGCCTCACATTTTGCAGGACCATAGCCTTTTTGTGGTGCTTCTCGCAGGTATGAAATGAATGTCAGTCAGGAGGAGACGGGGGATGACTTTACTATCATAGGGTAAGCAAGCTAAACACTCTCCTTCCCATTTCAGAGAGCTGCCTCTGACGTTCTCTAAATAGACATGAAGTAACTCAGAATGATCATCGGTAACGATTAACTTAAGAAGCACCTATATCTCTTGAGGATATACAATGGGGACACAGCATACAAGGAATGTGGGCAATTTGGTGAGACTGCAAACCATTTACTTTACGACTGCCCAACCAAGGCCCCACTAGAAAAACAGGCCATGCTGCAGGATTCATGACGTCAAATTAATGGATAGATTCATTATTCACTGTCATTAATATGTTTTAGCTAAATAAGCTGGCTGTTTGTAAGATTTGAATGGTAACATTTTTGTACAACTATAACTATCCACCACTGTGACAAAGTGTTGCGCTGCCCGCGCTGCAGCATGGCCTGTTTTTCTAGTGGGGCCTTGGCCCAGCTCTGAATGAGGTATAGGAAACATTCTTGGAATAATGACAAGGGGTAAGCACTGTCTCAAGATGAGCTCATTGTCAAGATACTGCGGTTCATTAAGCAGCTATCAGGCTCTGAGGCACTAAACAGGGAACCAAAAAACCCCTGTAAATTGTTTGGGATTAGGTAAGGAGACAAATGAATTCTTCGTGATTTACAAACCTGATCACGTCCTTTACAATTTTCCCCTTTCCTTACTGTATGTCTAACAAAAACCTATTTTGTATTTTTTATATTTGTAAATTAGACAAGTTTAAAGACACTTCTCTTATACTTTGTGCCACATGCCTCTGCGACCAATGACAGATGTCCCTAGTTTGTGTCCTGTGAAGAGATATCTTGAAAGACACTGGTCTATCCCACCATCAGGTCCTCGTGGAGAGTTTTGGTTTGATCATGTTAGCAACACATAATGAACGTGAATCAAATTGAGGCTGCATATTTCTGTGGCTTGGCTTGTGCTTGTAGATAGACCACCGTGCATCTACGCCACAGCAATGAATACATACATTTTATACATACACAGCATGTGCCACATAGTATAAAATCTTTCATTTAATCCCAAGCACTTACCAAGTCGCAAGTCGCAGCAGCGTGTGGCGTGCTGCAGAGTATTTAAGGAGTCTAATTTAGCAAAAGTGGCCCTAAAATTCAAAGCTATCCGACTATTTACTATGTACCAACAAACTACATTTTAGATTGTTTCAACCAGTATGTTGAAGAGGAGATTACTGTACAAATATTGTTGATAAAAGGTTTATTTTGCAAGTATTATAAATGGGGAGGGACTGGGTTAACCTCTTGTGTTTGGCTCCAGCAATTTTAGAGATAGACTTTACTTTGGTTTAACTAATGAACCTTGTCCATCTCAACAACAAAATCAACTGTAGACTTACTATTGTAATAAATAAGATTTGATATCTATTTTCGGCTTTGAAATGAAACAAAACAACAATTGTTTTTGTTGTTAATTGTAGCAGGCCTAAAGTAGGTAAACTAATTCAGTCAATGTTGTTACGTCAGTGTTTACCTATGTGATCTTTTGTAGAACGGAATGTTTCTTGTTCCTGTTGGATATCCGGAGATGATGAATCAGGGTTTGTAGAGGTCGAGTGTCTTGAAAGTGATGGGGATTGATGGTGGTTGACTGTAGTATTTACAGTAGATGAGAGATCGATTAAACCTGAACTATTTCTCCTTTAGGTACAGTCGTTGATGGTTGTGTAATGTCAGAGTTAGTGTTAGGTGATAGTTGTTTATTTGACTTAGTATTAGGGGTGTGTACCATCTAGCTTGTACACAAGCTTCCACGCTTGAGCTTCTGAATTACTCTCATTTGATTGGTGTCCTCTTGTGGTTCCATTTTGATTTTGGCTTGTTGAATCTTTTATTTGAACCACTATTATTTTGTCTGTTGTTGCGTTTATAAATGTAATTTCGACCTAATCTGAACAATAATTCTGGCTTTTTTTATGGAAACTTCTTTAGATGCCTCCAGAGCTAAGGATTTGTTGAGAATTTGACTGAAATTCAGTTTGGGGCACATTAACAGGTTGCTCTCTTATGTAGTTTTCTTAGATTCCTCGTATGAACTGCGATGCAAGAAATTTTCTTATGTTGACTCTTTACATGAAAATGTAAAGGCACATGACATTGAAACCTTTCAAAGCCAAGAAATTTATGACGTTCCACCATACATAACATTTTTCTTTAGGCTTAAATAAGTCATCCAGTGCTGCATATAGAGTTCATCAAACTAAGTCTCTTGCTGTCCTAGGTGCTATTACTAAGGAGGCCCCTGTCCCCCCTTGGCCCGGGGACCGCGGGCGCTCGCCCCCTCCGCGCCCATAGGTAAGTCTGGCCCTGGCTATTAGAGTTGATTATAGCAATTATTGGAATGGTTCAGCACCCATAATTGAGCAAAAGCTTAGTTGTCATTTGGTGATTGCTTCCTTTTATTTGCATATAGTTCTTGAATCTTTCCAAATAATGTTTGAAGTTTTCCTTTTTGGAGTTGATTGATTCAAAACTGGGTGCAATCATAAAGTTACCTTTTTTTAGTCATTCTCGGTTCAAAACAGCATTTAGAACTTTTTCATTATGTGCTACTATTGTCTTGATAAGATCTTCTATTTGAATAAGTAAATGTAATTGATTGAAACATGAAATTAACTAACTGATTGAAATATAATACCTTTTGATCTCGTTGCCAAAACACTGGTTATGTCAGTGTTAAAATAAAGAACATTTTTCATGTAGGCTAGTTTACTTTTATCCACAGTTAGAACTAAGATAGAAACTATAAAAACTAATGTAACAATATTATTTATCATGTTTATGTCATCATCTAAATGTGAATTTCCTTTTGAACCTGTTTGGCTAGAAATAAATGAGATATCTACAAAAAGTTAAGTCTGCAGGGTTCCACAAGGGATATCCTAAAATGATGTTACTATCTATAAATGTACTTAGGATTAAAATTTATTGCTCATGAAAATGTGCTGGTTCTTTGCCAGTTTTGTGCAATCACTCACACCTCGTATCTATTTGCAAGCTATGATTCTATAATTCTCTGCTTTTGATAAATAAATTTTTTCTTATGCAACTTGTTGTTATCAAAAAAGGTCATAGATCACATGGAAATGCTTAACTGCAATTGGAAAAATTTGGTTTAAAAATGAAACCGATATACTAGACAAATAAAGAATCTCTTTTCTTATCTGTGCCCATTGGGTGTGCCTGATTGGGTCTTATATTTGGGATAGAAGTGGTGGATTTTGGAGTAGAAAACATCTTGAAATAATATCAAACAATTTTATTGTCTTTCTTAAAAACTAAACTGTACACATTGTAAAAATACTTATTACTAAACTATATTTACAAATAAATATGGAATGTTCCTTGTCGAAATATCACATTGTTATTACTGTGATTACAAACTATTCTACAACAAAGCCTGAAATTTCTGATTGAGGTAAGGAGATTAAATTGTAACACTAAATGATAAAAAAAGTAATCATCCAATATGGAAGAAATAAATCTAGCAAAAGAGGAGAAATTACATTGGATAACAACTCAAGCAAAACATTTCAGGTGAGGACACAGTAACCATGTGTGGTAACTCAAACTCACAAATAATATTTTTCACCACACTATGATGTTTTTACCTGTTTTACATACAGGGCAAATCAAGGTATTAGGTATTCGTGGCTGAAAGCACAGAAAACGTACTACTATAACCCAGAATGCCAACCGCATGGTAAAAAGCATTAAGCGGTTTGAGAGAGCTTTGCCTGTCAATCCGTAGGCAGCGCCACCAGCGTTGCCATGCAATAGCATAGCAACGCTGGTGGCGCTGCCTACGGATTGACAGGCAAAGCTCTCTCAAAACACTTAATGCTTTTTACCATGCGGTTGGCATTCTGGGTTATAGTAGTACGTTTTCTGTGCTGAAAGCTAGGTTTTGCTGGCCATGCCAGCTGTCATTATCATTTGGGGACCGAGTAGGTTTTTACATCCCTAGACCGCAAAATCAGCTGCCCGCTTACTTTCTTAAAATATGAATGCATATTTAATACACAATCAGTATCCATAGCATTGCAATAACATTGTTTTATATTCACCGCTGCCTAGCAACTTTTATTATTATTATTATTTATTATAATTTTTGCTGATTCCTCAAATTATTTTTTCACATAGTCATGTAGTTGTGTTGACTATCCAGTTGTAGTGTGCATTATTATTGTGGTGAATAGTGGTAATAGGATATAGTGTGGTGAAAAATAGCGATTGTACCACGGACTGAAATGGTTTTGCAGCTCTCAATCGTTTCCTAAAACTATCTCGAGCCGGCAAAATCTTATTTTTCGGACCTAGGTACAAAATATACAATTAAGCTTCAAAAACATAAAATATATTGCTTTTCTTTTATTTAACCTTTTAAATTAAAGAAAAGCAACATTCTTTTATGTTTTTGAAGCTTAATAGTATATTTTATGCCATTACCAACTTCCTTAAGTTGGTAATGGCATGTTATTCTTCACTAAACTCTGAGATTTAGGATGCCCACTTGTAGTACTTGAACATTTTCAAGTACAGTGTGTTACGGTAGCAAAGAAGAATAAATAGGTATATTGTTTTAACTTTTTATAATGAACTTGTCATTTCACTATGGATATTTATATGGTCACGAATATTGCATTGATGAATTATCAAAACAGATACTTTGCACCATATCAAAACTGGATAGAATATTGAAAATATTGTTTAGCAAAATTTTGTTGCTAATAAATGATTGCACCGTTTCTAAAAAATATTCATAAAAAGGCCTGATTATATTAAATTACTAAATTTTGAAACACAATAAAGAACTTGTAGCTTTAAATCAATTTTAAAATAACTACTCAAGTAATAAACCTATTTGAAGCATCTCGCTTTGGTTCCTCCAGGTAGCCGGCCCGGACGTGCGGCAATATGTCGTTGCTTGTCTCAACCTATCGTGTGGCCTGTGTCATACAACCAGCCACTGGTAGGTGACCACCGCTGCTATCACTACCATACACACTCCGCCCCAGAAGCCGCTAGGAGGCGGGATCTCCTGGTCCCAGGGCCGCAGACGCCAGCCGAACCTCTCGTCGTCCTCCTCGTCCGAGCTCCAGTCCTCGTACTGCGGAGGCTCAGGCTCCAGCTTCACGTACTCCATCACCTCCACATCACAGCGGAACTTGACTCTGTTCTTCTCCGAAGTTGAGTCCCTCCGCCAGAACAGCTTGCCACTGTTGCGACGGTCCAGGATCCATGTCGGGCCTCGCAGCTCGTTTAATACTTCTCCAGTCATATCAGCCTGTAAAAGTATATTAATGTAAATAATGTATAATATACCATAGTAACAATTTGGCTGTAACTATAATTTGTAAAATAAATAAAGATTTTAACAATAAACAGATTTTTTAGACTAATTTGTGTGGTGAACAATATGTTTATGGCAGCGTGATTTTTAAGAGTGACTTTTTTTAGTCTCACACCATGGAAATAAAATTGCAAACTGCTTTCAATAAGTAAATCACTAGAGGTTGAATTCAATTAATTGGCCATCAAGAAATCCATAAACAACAAACATCGGTGTTTTGGTGTTTGGTTGCAGATTCAAGTACAGTAATGAGTTGTAGTAGCTTTGGTCGAAGTTTCCCATATAGGGAATAAGGTATTACCGTAGGTCTCATGGTAAGACCTGGACCCAGAACCGATTTACTTTTTCCTTTTGAGGTCCCTAGAGGCCAAAAACACCATCCGCTCAAATTCATATATATATGTGTACCGTTAGCACGATAACTCAAACAAAAATGATCCGGTTTTGATGAAATTTGGTATAAACGTGTAACCGTACATTTATTTGAACGAGTTCGCGAACCAGCATGATCGAACCATGGGAACGGGGGTTTTAGGGGGTAATAATAATAATAATAAATCTTTATTGTCATTTGGTAATATAAACATTACAATAGACAATGTCAACATGTTTTGTTACATATGTTAAATAAAATATTAAATAGGCTACAGAAAATGTTAAAATAAAGTTAAAAGAATCTTAAAAGGATAAAGCATCAGTAATAATAAAAAACTTTGAAATTAACAGGGCAAAGACCATAACAAGAACAAAGAATCATCAAGACTGCTTGGCCTCACATTTAAGAGTTGAAAAATCTACATTCTGCAAAAACTCCTTGACTGAATAAAAAGCACGACTTGTAAGCCAATCTGATAATTTTGACCTACACAAATGAATACTTTCCTGATTTCTAAAATATATTGCAAGTTTATTAAATAGTTTTATTTGCAAATATTTATAACTTTTGATACATTTTGTTAGCCTGGCTTGAGGAATATATAAATCTTTTGATTGTCTGGTGATATACCCATGGATTGAGTTGCAAGGAACAAATTTATTTAGATTCTCTTTAACCGAAAGTAAATTGTTATAAATTATTATTTTGAGCAAAAAATGCTTTGCAACTAACCCTATCTGGAATTTCAAACATAATTCTGAGAGCCTTCTTTTGCCATGTAAAGACCCGGTGAGCTCCTGAGCTATTACCCCATAGTATATTGCCATACAGCAAGTGTGAGTGAAATAAACTGTGGTAAACAATTAGAAGTGTTGGTTTAGAAACACAATTTTTAAGTTTTCTTATCAAACAACATACTCTTGACAATTTTGAAATTATATTATTGGTATGTATTTCCCAAGTGAGTTTAGAGTCTATGGATATTCCAAGTAGTTTAACAGAAACTGCATTGTCTGCTTCAAGATTACGCAAAGTAAAACAATTTTTTTCTGTTTTATCATGATTTATTTCAAGAAAATTACTTTCAAACCACAGCGTATCCAATTCAATGGTGTTTTCTATACTTTGGTTTGCAGAGTGAAAGTTGTCAGCTGAAGGTTGTGTCGTCAGCATATAAAATTGTTTTGTAAGGTATAGAGTTTGGCAAATCATTAATATAGAGAATAAATAAAACCGGACCCAGCACCGACCCTTGAGGAACCTTAGCAAGGACCTCCTTAAAATTTGACCTATGTTTTCCTAAATTAACAAATTGTAGTCTTCCACAGAGGTATGATAAAAAAAATTAATTTTAAATTTAAATTTAAAAATTTAAATAAAAAAATGGGTTTTGACCCTAAAAACATGAAATTTTGGAATATCTTTTCAAACAATTTTGTAGAGCTTAAAAAAATAAATAATTTAGTATATTGAAGCATTGTTGTATGCCTAACGGTCACGAACAAAATTCAAAAAAGTGCCATTTAAAATTCCCATGTTATTTTTATGGAGAAAATGAAAACGGTTGTAGTTAACTTGTTTATGGATAGATTTTAATAAAATTTGGCGAATTTATTAATTTCATGCTACACTACTGATGTTTGGTCAAAAATACTTTTTACCTTCCCCGTAGTAGCTTACCTAATCACTCGTTAAATCTAATGCTATTTAAATTGGGAATAAATATGTCTTATTTATGGAAATATTTTAGTAAAAATGTAATCAGACAAGTGGAAATTCGCTTAGTCTACAGGTTTGCTGCGGTGGGGGTATTTTACTCTATTCGTAAGAAGTGTCACAAGCCTATACCAAAATACCATATCCTCATTCAATTTATAAATTTGTTATTTAAAAGTATCTGGAAATCCCTTGTCATACGTAATGGTTGAGACTCGAGATTTGCCAAGATCAACTGTTAACTGTCAACCAGTCACCAGTGTTGTGAGTAAGTAAACAGTCAACAATGGAGTCAGCCCAGGTCACCATATTACACATAACCACTAGCATGACATCGGCCAGCGCCAGTTGTCTAACAGAGCATGATTACTGTGTACACTGTACAGCCAACAGTCCAACAGTCACTATCTTCAGGTCCTGCCTGATCTGGTATCAATGAAATTAATGTTTGTTTTAAGCTAATAAAAGCTTCCAGCAAAGTTTGGTAAGGACAGAGTATCAAAGTTCAAAGTTTGCTATCAGTCCCAGGTAGAACGCCTAAGACAGAGTGGAGGAGGGAAGGGAGATTAACGTGTGACAGGCAGGACAGGGGCTATCTGTTATCTGTTATCAGAGACAGTGGCAGCTGATAAGTAGACAGTAGTGACGTCAATCAGGTCTTGGACCGAGACTGGCACTTTGGATATTGACAAAGTACTCACATTTTTGGTAATTTGGATATGGATACACTTATGATTCATATCACATAAAAAGTACAATGTGGATTCTCGATACGGTGGGTAATATATTAATAGTAATAATAAAGAAAATCAACACGAGTTCAAAAATTCACCGATTGAAGCTATCAAAATAACGCTTTAAATTCGCGAACAAAGAGTTAACTTAATCCAACTATAACTATGATGTGCGTTCACCAGGAATAAGGAACAATAAGAAATATAGCAATGATAAAAATCAATCTAGCCAAACTCTCAAGGTCTTCGTACCGCCAAACCTGCCAAGGTCAGAGTAGGTGATAAGTGATACCAAGGCCAACGCCTACCTCATAGTCTCCAGTCCAGCGCGATGCGTAGTAAGTAGGTTTACTACGTAGTGATTATTGAAATTGATTTAGTTGGCGGTGAAAAGGGCTGGACATTGGTGACATTTTATTGTGTTTAATTGGGTTTGACCATAAAACCTCTGATTTTTCGTATATTTTGGTTAATCATGGGCATATATCGTGTTGAGCAAGACATGGAATCGAGCACAACCTACAAATAAAAGGGATATCGATAAAAATTACGAAAAAATTGTATATCACCGTGTTAAAACTAATATCTGGTTTGAGTGAGTTGCTGTTTTCGTGGGCTTTTTAGGACATTACCAGTATCTGATGGCGGATGTCGCAGTGGCGGAGGCGGTATCTAGTGATAACATGATAAGCAGTGCAAGGTCACCAGTCACCAGACACCGATCACTGGAGGCCTGGACACCTCGCCGCGAGCACCAGATCAACAATCAGATAACATTACTGAACGAACTCACGGCCTTTAGCAAGGCTTGCTACCGGGATATACGAGTAAGATTGTAATTTGGCATCAGTTGGCTGTAACCCTAGGAGAAAATGACGCTAGAATGTGGTTTACGAGGCAATATAATGAAAAGATACCGTACCTAAATCTCTTTACTGTTATGATTGCAAATGAATTTATACGTTTTAACAAGTGTATTCAAGGAGCGTCAATCATCAATGGATTTTGTCCAAGTGATGATTTCACAACCTCAAGCCGAGCCTGAAGTAATGTGAGAAAACTACCCCGAGCTAGTGCCTCGTAAAAGTGTTGTTTAAGTCTTATTGTGGAGTAATATTCCTTAATGCATTCCTGTTGGTTTGAAAGTTTAAATAGTAATTTGTATATGACTATCCGATGGATAGCGAAATTTACAAGTTTAGCTACTTTTAATATATACCATTAATTTATTTCCATAAATTTAAGAATGTATTTACATTTATTAACGTATCATGACACTTTTTGATATCAGCTTTTAAAATAATAGCATTTACTGACAATTTGACAGTTTACTTGACAATGACAAATCAGGTAACTGTTACACCGAAGATGCTCAGACCTGGAGCACAGAAAACGTACTACTATAACCTGGAGACGCTGTTTACAGTATGGTTTTCTGTCAAAAAATTCTAAAATTCTTTCATCAATTTAAGAAACGATTTTGTGGACAAGCTTTATTAAACTAATCATGCTTTACAATACGATTTAAAGGAATCATACGACGACTTCGACTCTCCGCTGGCATCAAATCAACCAATGTATATAATAAATCGTACAAACGTCAACGTCGCACTTATATAGGGTTACATCTCACCTGTTAAGTAGACCTACTGTATATACAAGTGAATGCTACACAGGGACAGTACAGTACTGTACCAGCCACAGCTACATGAGAGGAAGTGTTACATTGTTCTATTGACGCGTTCACTGATCACTGATAAGCTGCATAACAATCTGATAACTGCATCCACTACCACTGGACCTCATATCTCTTATCTGATACTGTGTTACAACTGTTCAACACTACCATGTAACGTAACTAAAACTATACAAAATAACAACAGATTATTCAACATATCAACATATTCAATATATGAATTGGTAAATGGGATGGGTGGTGGAGTGAATATAGTGGTCACCTGGTAATCGACAACTTCATCCACCAGGGGTCACGGGCTGATATATCTGCTATCTGATACTGTGTTACAACTATTCATTTGAACAAAGGATGAGTCTAAAAGAAATAAACCACTTTGTTCATCACATATTTTAATTAGAATGAGAATGGAACTTGCGATTTGAAAAAGTGCGTATGTATTATCAAATTTTTTCGTGTATTTGAAAAATTGAATATCTGAAGTTTGGTTCACAAACAATATAGTTCAGTCAAAATATATTTGACCCAACCTCCAAAAAAATCCGAAAGTTTTAAAACTTTACACACATATTTCTAGGTACCTATGTAGTTTTTTCTCAACGAAATACCTACTTTATTGTTTGCACCATGACAGTAAAAAACATATTTTAGCGCCCTATAACTCGGTAACCAGTAGGAATAAAATTAAAGTGTAAATATCATTTTTGTTGAAAAATTTGATGATCTTTCATTTGGTATATAGTCACATTTTACTCCGACGACGGTTCTCAAGATTTTAGCAAAACCAAAAAGATGCCCTGTTTCGCTAATTGCCGCTAGGAGCTCACTTAATATTTATAGGGACTTTTGGTATAATCTTCCCTAGGTACCTAGAAATAATTGTGCAAAGTTTTAAAACTTTTGGAATTTTTCTGAGGTCAAAACTTTTCTTGACTGGACTAATAAGTCAATCCAATATTTAAGTTCTGACAAAGCTCTCCAAATAGTCGGTAGTGGGTTTATTAATACTGCAGCGGCTATCCTTTCCCTTTGTTTAATGGGAGAGACACTGTACACACTTTGTCCTTCATATATAGATAGAACGGGTTAATTTGGTGTACGCAAATTCAGGTTGTTGAACACGACCAATCGAGTGCGTTGGACGATTCTTACACATACTTTTCTATGGAGCTATCAACTATGTAATCTATTACAAAACTAAATTAAACCAGCAATAATTGTGTAAAACCTAGTGCTACGGTTAAGGTTTAATAATCAACGGTAGGTTTTATACAACTTCGTTTTAAAAGTAGGCCTATTCTCGTTGCAAAGCACGGGAAAAGCTGCACATAATAGCCTAAACGTTACTGCCACCGAATTTGTTTTTAACATTGTTTTGCAAACCCAATTTACCTACGCAACAATTCGTTTCTTAACTTTAACAGATTGGTTCAATCCTGCCTCAAACATAACAGGTGTATATGTAGAAAAAGTACCGTAATACCACAAAACCAAGTACTGTACTGTACAGCAAAGTACCGCAGAGTAGGTCTGTGAGGTGTGTACTTCCTTGAACAAACGCGAATTTTTATAAAACGTCAGTATTAATAAGTTTAGGCCTATTCATCAAGTTATATTCCATAATTGTAGTGATATTGTTGTTGAAATACAAATTTTCAGCTGTTTACACTCTATTGTTACGAATACGATGACAGCGTGCGTGTTATCATTGACGAGTACCACAGTCCATTTATGGTGTATAGTCAATGGTGCTATGCAATATATATAGAATGGATTAAAACACAGTGGTTAGGTAAAATGTAAAACCAAGGCCATAACAATCACGTAATTATGAACGTGTATAAGAGATTATCGATTATCTAATGCAAATAGAATATTTGGCTTGATGTTAAACATGCACAGTATGTTCACATTAACGATTGCATCAACATTAATGCTTTTGATGGCATTTGTTGTGCATGATCCGGCAGTACATGTAATCATGACCAGGTTTAGCAATTACGTCACATTTAGTTAAACAACTCGCGCTTATACTAACATAATTTATGTACCTGAATGAACTATTAGGGTTTAATCCACATGTATTTAAATCTAAACCAATATATTGAGCAAATTATAATAAGGGTTAGAAGTGTGCAGTATTACTTCTCTTTTGAGCTACTGGAATGTGAAGAAATGTCTTAAAGGTAGAATGGTAGATCATCGGATGGACCTTTTCATGTCCATAACATCCCCAATGATATGCCCCAGTGGGCGTTTTAACTTGGACATAACATTGTTTGGTGTACATGGGAACAAAAAGAAATTCCTCATGGTTTACGGAATTTTACGAAATTTCATAAAAGCCGTCTACAACAAGGATTAAATTGACTGTATGAAACTACAGACAATATAAAACGAAGATTTACCTATTTTTTCCTCGAAAAATAACAGTGGGTTTGGGAATATTTAAGACAGTATATTTGAAGAAATACCGATCAGATTAAGTTAGTGTCCTCTCCCGGTTGCGAAGCATGCGCGTAGGTCTACATTTATTGGTTACTATTTCAAGTAAGTTATGACTTCAATTAAATTTCATGAGAGGGAGAAGGTTTTCAATTCAGTAATAAGTTTGTGAAACTTATATGTTTTATTGGGATGTTTCAGTAACTTCCGAGAAGTTTCGTGTGGTCCAAGTGTGTGGAATGTGGTGTTTGTCAGTACTCTAATACACACAGGTGGTTACGCAATAGTTCATAAGTGTTGTCAGTATATAATATTAAAGTAATACATACACTGGCTGTTCTAACAAGCTCTGTCACACTGTAGCACAAGTGTTACGTAGGTAACTAGATCAGACTGTGGTTGTACGTGTACGTGGCCTGACAACCGTAGGCGAGTAATTACCTGTTGATGACACCAACAACGTAAGCCACATTACAGTAGGCAATATTTATGTGCTTTCCGAGTATTCCACGTTGAAACACCCGTATGCAACACAGATTGTGGGTACAGAAAATATAAGTAAGTTGCCGGACTCCGGTCATTGGTACTTGGTAGGCCTCGTTGACAATGTAATATTTGAGTACACAATGGATGCAAAGTCCACTTAATGGTCTTAAGTTGTAACAATAACTGTTAGTAGCAATGTAAATAAACTCAGGCGGGCAATAACAATTGCATATAGTATGTGCTACAGTCCTTTGGGAATGTACTCGAAGAAATGCTTAGTTAACCGCCGTTAGCCTGTAAATATAAAACGATTAAAATCATTATTGTTAGTAATGAGTAATCTATATGAACGAGGTCCGTAACAGTTCAAGAATAAAAACCAGCTTCACTACGAGTATATTCCACTACACCTAACATTCCGAAGAGAGATTATATTGACAACTTTATGTAATTGATAAGGCTGAGACAACTGTCATCCGCCGCATGTCAAGGAATCAGTAACCCCACGACCAATTTCTCTAAAGTATGCTATTTTAAGATTATTCCAAAAGAAGATAAACCAGTTAAAATGGTAAAATAACTCCGATAACGTCCGGTATGGTAAATATTTTATTCATTGAATGATTAACCTTGTTTTGTAACTAACGCAATAGTCATTATTGTTTTTACACTTATTACTCATTAAACAATGCTAAATGCTCAAAATTTGTAAAACTGCACTCTAGTTAGATGAATTAGCGTAAGCTTCATAGATCCCAATGGTATCATTGCTGATGGTGTGTGCAGGCTGAGTTTTCAATCTAGTGATATAGTTTCATTGGTATATCGAGGTCACACTAGCGACAGGATCAACATACAATGAGATCGCTTAATGCAAGTGGTTGTATGATTCACGCAACTCAGGTCTGATCAACGAATGCTAATCAATTGTTCGCCACACACAGTGTGCATCTACACTAGTTGTAATAATTATAAAACACAGGAATAGAACAAATCAAATAGAGTGTTATTCGTTCACATCCAGTCAGAAACATCCTCAGTAGTTTTTACTCGTGTTAAAATACAAAGTCTTTGTATTAGAAATACGTACCATTGACTTTAAACTTGTTTGTTTAAAGTGTTAAATTACGCACATATATGTTGCCTCTATGTGTGTTTAATAGTGAAAGTAGACTTCTCATCCAATTGTAACTTTTGAAGCATGTTTTCTTGTGTGTTAAAACGAAGTTAATAATGTTTAGATTAAAGCGATGTCGAATAAATGTCTCATTGGCTAAAGAGTAGATTCTATGACTTGTACGACTTATTTGATTGAAATCATGTTGGAATAAGTTAAAAACACCTGAGAGGGTCAACTTGAAAATTTTGTTTTCGGCTGAGGATAAACATATAAGGAGGTACAGTACGTTTGTTTTATCTATGGTTTGATCTATGTACGTAATATTATGTTGATAAGGCTTGTCTAACAAAAGGTAAGAGGGAAACAAGACCAAGATTTGGACCGTACTCTTTCAAATGAGCGGATAATGGCAATGGAGTATACAAACACTAGATAAAAATAAAATAATAAATAAGACAGATCGGCAAAGTTCCCCAGGAAGTAGCTATTTTTGTTTTTAAAGATGTTCGCCATGACGGCGTTTCTTACATGTCAACATAAACTGTCGATTTCGCAACCTGTCACAGCTGTAGCGAGTTGCCAAACAAAGATTAGCATTGCTAGCCTTGCCTGGCCGCAGCGTCACGGCGGTCATCTCAGTGGCATGCCTACTTGATATGTGTGGAATGCCACTCGCTCATGACCATCATTGACTTTGGCTATTGCGAGCAGCAGCAGACTTCACAATCTATTGTAAAATATTAAAGTCGTGTAGTTTATTTCAATTACTACTGTGTCAATGTGGGCTATTACTCTCCTACTTTATAGTACGCTTTTACAGGTTAAAATACAACCGGACAAGCAGTAGATAACAAATGAATCGTATTTTTTTAGGTTGCATAATCTATAATATTTAGTTATTAGTTAAGCCCAAACAAACAATTAAATGGCAGTAATGGATAACAAATTGCATCTGTGAAACAGGCCATGCTGCAGGATCCAT